TTAACCACTTCAGCACTACAACCTGACCACAGGACACTGGGGCAGCAGCAGATGGCTGAGAAACAGCGCCTGTGCCCAGCCCTATGTTTATTTTACAGCTCATTACTGAGGATTAACTTCTCAAAACTCCCCTGCCACTGGCTGATGCTCTGCTCTGCTTAAAAGGTGGGGTGGCAGGTTTTCCTGGTGACTGCAAGGTGATTGAAAGGCTCTGTCTCCATCCCAGGGCACAGGTTGTGTCTCTAGAGAGTGGCAGGCTTTGGGGTTAAAGCAGAGCTTGGCCAGGAGCTCCCTCCTGGGAGGCTCTGCCAGGTCGGGTCGTTCTTGACATTTTGACAAGCCCAAGGAGTTTGTATTCCTGTGGCACTTGTGGGGTGTTTCCTACCAGGCACGATGCTATTTCTGATACTCCTTGCCATCATTAACTTTAGCTCCAGGCTGCTGCAGTATTTCTGTCATTCAAACCGTATTTATGAAGCTCAGCTTTTGTCATCTGAGGCACAAACTAAAGCTCTGCAGATTTGTTCAGGTCCCTGCCACGTGCCATCTCTGAACCTAATGAATGCTCTGCTGGTGTTCTGTAAGAGATAACTGCTGTCCTCTGAAACTACAAGGGCACAGAAAATGCAACCAAAATGATCTCAGCACATCAGGAATAAAAAGAGACAGTGCTTGCTCTGTAGGAAAGAAATGCTCAGTAAAAACTGTGTTGTTTATCATAGATATTGGAGGAGATGGAAGGAGGGGAAAATATTGCAATATTGCCCCCATCCTCTTGCGGCCCCTGAAAAAAACCCTATACTTAAAAAAACAGCATCTTGTTCAGTTTTATAACTCTTGGGCAAACAGATTTTGGCCCTGCGAGTCCTTTTCTATGATTATTTTATTTCCCACTCTTCAGGCACTTTTATTTTCTTCTCAATGTCACAAAGTACTGACTATATGCTGTAAATAATGACATCAAGTAATCCTGTCTGTAATGGTTTTAAAGAGTTCAGTCTAACTCAGAACAGTTATGGTATAAAGCAACTGTATTGAGAGAAATTGTAGAAAGCAAATGTAGGCAATGCTATACAGAGGATATTTAATTTCTCACATGGCCATTTGTCAGCCTGAGGTCCTGTCTGACACAGGGTAAGTCATGGAGTGCCTTCCCCAGCCCTCTCAGCGCCGGCTCTGCGGGACCTCAGTGCACTTGCTGATGAGGGGCCTCTGTTCCTCAGAGCCTTTGAACACTTTAGGAAACACTTAGGCATCAAGTGCCTTACACTGACCTCCTCTGAGACTTCGCTGACTTAATTAATTGGGGAAAGCCTTTGCAAAGTAAATAGAGATAAGCCCTGGCAAACCTCCAGACGTGGGGCGAGATGAATCGCTAACCCTGCGCTTGCCCCTGGTCCCGTCTGCCCGGCTCTGCCTGTGGGAGCTGCAGGGCACCCCAAGGGCTTGATCCCCAGGTGGGATTTGCATTGCTGCCTCATTCAGGGGCAAGCCTAAGGCTCCTGCAGAAAATGAAGGGAACTTGTCTGTCACAGAAGATAACTTAAAGCACCTAATTTGTGTTCTGACCTGCAGACGCTGCCTAGGGAGGAGCTCACCAACCTCAGCAGTGCCCAGCTCGAGCCCTGGGACAGCACTTAGCACAGCCCAGTCCCACCAGGGAGGCTCTTCAGAAGCTCACAAGCTCCATCAGCAGCTCCTCCCACGAGCTCTCAGGGGTGCCCCCAGCCCTGGTGGTAAGTAAGCAAGTTTCAGAGGCGTTTGATGGCGTGTCCAGCACAAATTCCAGCTACACAGCTGGAAATGAATGAGCACAACAGGGCAGGTGCTGTGCCAGAGACACCTGTGTCATTCAGGTGAGTGTGTGTGTGCTCAGGACTGCTGGGTGCCATAAATACACGGAAAATGCCAGGGCACAGGGAATCCTCTCTGTGATTTAGTGTTGCTCTGCAGATCCACCTGACAGGAAAGGAGTCCCCAAAGCAAAGCCTTTGCAGTGTGGCACTCACTGGACACAGCCCTGAGAGCAATCCCAGCGTGGAACTCTCCTGTGAGCCCTCCCTGCTGCAGGTGAGCTGCTCTGTGAGGCAGGCAGGGCTGGGGAATCGCTGTCAGCAGCAAAATGCCCCTTCTGTTCTGTGTCAGCACAGAGTGACACAGCCCAGCCACAGCTCCCAGCCCTGCCACGTCTGACTGATTTTGTCTAAGTGTTCCTTTGCTCAGCATCAACCTGTTTGTTCCCCTGGTAATTATCCCTTCCCAGTGCCTTCAGTCTCGTGTCCTTCCTTACCTCTGGAAAACTGGCCATGTTCACTATAATGAGCTGTGGTGATTTCTGTGAGATCTGCCCCAGCTGGTTCAGTGGAAACTTCCCATCTTTGGTCACCACAGTGATGTGATCCAGGGCCCCTCAAAAGAACCAAACACAGGCACTTTCAGTATGATGCAGCAGTTTGCAGCAATGCTGAAGAAAAACGTGTCTGCAGTGTCCCACTTCCCTCCTGCTTTGCAAAATATAGATGTTACAAAGGCAAAAAAAGAGTGTTTATTCAGACTTCAGGTGCTGTTTGCGTTCAGGCATCCCCTGTGTATTTACAAGCTAAATATGTCAAAGCTGATCTAAAACACAAAAAAATTAAAACAAAACTCTTGTTTGTTTTTGCTACTAGAATAGGAAAATTAGGCAGTATTGTTAAGAATGGAAAGGAAATCGTTATTTTTTAATCCTTAGTCTTTAAAGAAAATAAAAATGTCGCTATAAAATTCAAGAAAAATATTGTCTTTAACTTAGCAGTGCTCTCTTAAGCCCCTCTTTTTATTCCCCCAGGTCCCCAGAGGGGTGTTGTACACTGCCTAATTTAAAGTATTCAGTTTCTCCCTGAGCTACTCTTAATCTGCTCTCTCGTTTCTGCTGCAAAATGTTAACAGGCCAAAAGGCACGTGGGACAGGAGGTACTTTATCAGTGCAATTAAAAAAAAAATACCTATGGTTAAAATAAATAGTTAAAAGACCAAGCTATGCTTTCCAGCTCCATTAAACACAGAGGTGCCCCTGCCAGAGCTGGGGTGGTGAATGATTCAAATTTGGTCATTGTTTAATGTTAAATTTTATCCCTGAAACTTGATACACTTACAAGTTCAGAGTGTCATAGTAACTGTGGCTTAGTCAAATGAATTCACATTTCTTCCTAAAGCACAAAATCCACTAAGTGAGCGAGGCTTGTACAGGTCACTGCCCACAAAGATGCACAGCAAAAAAAAAAGTTTGTATATGCCAGACACCAGCCTGATGGCAATTTCCAAAAGGCTAATTTGATGGCAATTGGATTTTTCCTGCCCTACTGCACCATTAGCTGACAACCTGCTTCTCCATCACATCTGCAAACAGTTCAGTTAGAGGCTTTTGACATCTCCCACTTACAAAAGCTATTTCCAGGAAGCTATTAGCCAAAATGGATTCTTCCTGGTCAAGCTCAGGGTGAAGAAAGCCTTTTTAGCTGGGATGTCAAGGCTGCAGCAACTGGGTGTCCAGTGAACAATTCCAGAAAAAAACCCACAACTTTGTAAAAATCAGAGTTCCCCGTTACTGGGATTTGGATCCTCATTTACAGGTCACAGAGAATCACACAAGGAATTCACCAACCTGGTGAGGTTCTAACACTGATGTTCCTGGTGAAGTCTTCTTTCAGAGCTTCTACGACTGCCTGCATGTCCTCATTGGTTTCCTCCAAATTGATAATATCCTCAACCAGGGCAGCACTGATATTCACTTTGGCTTGGCTCTGCCCTTTACCTTTAGCTGCACAATGCACAAAAAGAAAAAAAAATTAATTTCTATTTGAGACAACAGTTAGTTGCTGCATCAGAAAGTAGACTCAATTCAGGACTTAGTCTAAGATAAACCAAAGTAACTACTTTTTAATGAGTAAATAGCTCAGTACTTGAGCACACGTGCCAAAATATATATATATATATAAAGTAGAGAGAGAGGGGTTGCAAAACCAGGACCAAAGGTGCTGTTTTTACCCTTTTTGGTAGCCAGCTGTCTGCTCAGCAGCACCTGATGGCCACACTGCCTGCAGCCCTCCAGGAGCAGGGCAGGGCAGCCCGTGGGAGCCCCTGGCAGCCCCCTGGTCAGCAGGAAGGACGAACGGTGCAGCAGGGATGGGACAGGACGGAGCCACCTCAGTGCCAGAGCCATCATCACAGCTCCTCTCTGACCCACCTGGAAGAGAGAAAGGCAGGGGGGCTACTCGGCCTGCTAAAAACCACCTGATTTTGGGCTGGGTGGTGCCCATGGGCACAGGGTGACAGCGCAGCGATGCGGGCGCTGGGTCTGGGGGTGGGCAGGGGAAGGGGCTCGGCGGCTGTCAAGTGTCAGTGTGGGCTCTGCACATCCGTGCAGGTGGGCACGGGCTCCTGGCACGACCCCCGCGGCTGGAGCAGCTCGTACAGTACCGGCTGCGGGATGGAAGTTCTACCGCACGAGGTTTGACACCGCGGGGCTCCCCGGCCCTCACGGGGTGTATTTATTGAGGCCCCGCTGCGGTGACACCGCGGGGCTCCCCGGCCCTCGCTGTCCCCGATCCCGTCACGGGGGTCCCGGCAGTGCCGACCCCGCTCCCCGCACGAGCGCGCGGGACCCGCCCCCTCGGGCCCCCACCCCTCCCGCTGGCCCCGCCCCGCGCCTGGCCCCGCCCACACCGGCCCCCGTGCTCGGGACGCGCCGCCCCCCCCCCGGGGCCACGCGGAAGGGCGGGCTGGGAACCGGGAATCGGTGGGGGATTGGGGACCGAGAGGAGGCCGGGGGGCAGGGGAGGGAGGGGAATGGGAGGGAGAGGGAGGGGAAGGGGGAGGGGAGTTTGGGCGCCGCCGCCTCGCTCACCGTCGCGCGGACCTCAGCGTCTCGCCTGACGTCATCGGCGCGCGCCCGTGACGTCATCGAGTGGCGCCAAAAGGGCGGGGCGAGGCCTGCGCGGCCCCGCGGCGGCGGCGAGAGCGGAGCGGGCCCGGACCCCGGACCGACACCGGACAGACCCCCGGACAGAGAGACCCCCCGGCCACACCCCCGGCCATGGAGCCGGGCCGCCAGGCGCTGCCCCTGGAGAACGCGTCCATCCTGTCCGAGGGCGCGCTGCAGGACGGGCACCGCCTCTGGATCGGCAACCTCGACCCCAAGATCACCGAGTGAGTCGCGGCCCCCCCGCTGCCCCCCGGGACGGGTTCGTGTCCCCCCACGGGCGAGGTGTGCTCCGCCTGGCCCGGCCCTGCAGCCCCCGGGGCTCAGCCCCAGCTCTGCCGTGCCCCCGGTACCGGCGGGCCGTGGGAAGGGTCCCCCCGGTTTGGGTGCCCCGGGAGGCAGCACAGGCTGGTGCAGCACCCCGAGCCGTGCCCGAGCTCCCCCGGCCCTGAGGGGGTGTCTGGGGGGTCTCTTGAGGGGCTCAGAGGCAGGGCCTGAACCCCTGCAAACAGCACCCCCCGAGGCACCGCTCGGGCTGGGAGCCCGGGGGATGGAAATATCCGTGTTCTCTAAACCGGGGAAGTGGGGGAATGTCACGTTAAAGATTTCAGGGTGACAGTGGCCAAACAATGGTAAAACAGGACACAGCCCTGGAAATCCTCACCCGGAGTGGTTGGGGTTTGTTGGGAAATGAGATCTCGTATCCCCTGTATCCCACAGGAGCCTGGTTTTGTTTGGCTGGGTGTGGGCTGAGCAGAGGAAAGTGTGTGAGTGAGGAGGTGGGAGTGGTGTGGATGCTGTGCTGGGTAACTGCACAAACCAAACACGTGTGTGTGCAGTTTGTGTTTTCCCCAGCCTGCAGATAATTATCTCCTGAGCAAACACAGCGTTTGAACAGCTAAATTGTCAAGGGAATGTGATGTGCTGCCCAATATTTGGATGGTGTGCTGAGAAATCAGTAGGTTGTTTTAAAAAGAAAGAAAAAAAAAAAAAGAAACAAACCAAAACAATTTGGGGTTTACACACTCCTGAGAAACAAGCATTTTTGATTAACTATTGTGTGTGTCTGTCATGGAATACTTTCCCTTCCTGGTCCTTTTTGTGTGCGTGCAGGTGCTGGGGTTTTGTTCTGAGCGTGGTTCCTCTGAGCAGAGCAGTTCCCAAATAGCCCCTAAATGGGATCATTAATGCATTGTGCTGCTCAGCCATTCAGCTCGGGGAGGTTTCTGCATTCATTACCATTTTTATCCCACTCCCAGCTCCGTTGCTCTGGTTTGGCCACATTCACTGACCATGTAAAAAAATTAGATACAAGAATTCCTGAGAATGTTGTTTGCTGAGCCCTCATGGATTCAGGAGCTGGGTTGGTGTGAGGGGAGGAGCAGTGGGTGCCAGTGCGTTGGGCTCTTCACCTCCCAGGGTGATCCTCAGTGCTGTTCAAGACCCTCTCAGTGCAGGTTGTTCCTCTGAATTTCAGCCAGACAAGTGATAGTTTTACATGGCGAAATTCACTGTTTTCATCACCTGGCTGAAGTGGGTTTGATGTTTTCATTTTCCAGGGCTGTCGAACCCTGAGTGCTTCCAGGCTCCTAAATGTTCCAAGTTTGCCCAGTGATGAGTGACAGTGCTTGTTGCTTATTTCAGGCTTTGTAACCCTGTGTCTTGCTTTTGGTTTTGCTTTAAAAATGGCCCTTCTCTCCTGAAAATTGTATTATATCTCCATTTCCTTGTGAGTAAAAGAAGAGGAAGTTCCTTTTCACACATTGTCAGCGTAGAGAGAGAGTGTGTGGTCCTATACGAGGCCAGTAAGTTTCTGTAAATCATCTTATCCCTTATTCTCTTGTACTGAGGGTTTGCTGCTCATCTCGAGCTCAGCCTCAAAAACCTTGCTGAGGTTACTGCTCACATGAGTAAATCACACCCCTGAAAAATAAGTGGCTGGGGTTTTTTTTTGTTGGCTGCTTTTTATCTGTTTTTTAAAAGAGTTGCCTTTTTTTTTTATTTTATTTCTGTGCTGGGTTTGTTTAGGACAGAGTAAGGTTTTGGGGGTTACTGGGTAGCTGATTTGGGGGGTTATTTGGGGGTCACTGACTCAGCTGGGAGTGCTGACACACCCTGTGCACTGGGTTAGGGTGGGTCTTGTGGTGGGCCACTGCTCCTTGCTGGTGGTGTTTGTGGGTGACTTCTTTTATCCAGCATCCTTAAAGGACTGCCTGCCTGTGGAAGGAGACGGCATTAGGAGTCTCCTGAGAGTGCTCTGAGCAGCTGGAAGGAGGTGAGCTGGCACCAGGGGACCTCGCAGCTGTGTGTGACACAGGACACTGTCCCCAGGCACTTGTGGTGCTGAATGATCCCTGTGGGGTCTGCCAGGGCAGTGCAGGAGCAGAGCAGCAGGTGGTTGGTTGTGGTTGGGTGTCACTGAGCAGGGAAGCCCCCTCAGCGTGGCTGTGGGCAGTGCCTGGTGTACCGTTTGTCCCCCAGCTGCACAGCAGGGCAGGGGATGTGCTGTGGCTCAGCTCTTTGATCCCATCGCCCCTTAGTGCTCCCATCCCAGGGGGCAAACCCACCTAGTTCAGTCACCTCTCCGTGCAGCAAGCGGGGCAGGAGTGCCTCCTGTGCCCATTCCTGTTTGCAAAGCCCTGTGAGACCTCCCAGCATTGGGGGCAGGCGGGGATTTGGCTTCCAGCTCTCTGCTCACACACACCTATTTATCATCTGGCTTCCCGTAGCCTCTGAATGACCATTCATTTTCCGCGGGGGGTGACATAGCGGGTGTTCGACTTCCTCGGCCGCTGGTGGAGGATCCCATCCCGCCGAGTGTCACCTCGAAAACAATGTGTACGCGGGTTGTTGTCGCGGCCCCCCGCGGGGTCCCGCTGGGGCAGAATTCCTCGCCGTAATGGCTTTCGCATGTGGCCGGTGCAGCGCGGGCTCCTCGGGACACCATTGTTCAGAGGAAGCCTTGCCTGCGTCTCAATAGCGCTGGGGGTGCCAGGAGGAAGGGAGGAGGAAAGGGAAATGGGGGAGCTGCTGGTTTGTGTCGCATCCACATCAGATGACGGGAAGCGGGGATGGAGGGTGGCCACGGCCGTGCCAGCACCCCCCGGCTCTGCACGGCCCTCGGGGTTGCCATGGCAAAGCTTTGTACAGGGCCTCACTTCTTTTTTTTTTTTATTAAGGTTTCGGGTTTTCCCTGACTGATCTTCCTTCAGTACTTCAGTACTGAACTCCTGGAGAACTGCTTGTCAAGTTACTGTTAATGCCCTCGATATTTTAGCAATATAGATCATAATCATGGCCTGAAACGTTTAGTTGTGCAAGACTTCTGAGCTGTTCCATGGAGAGCAGGTGACCTGCAGTTGTAGAATCGCAGGCATGGTTGGAAAAATTGCATTTGCGTCCTCTTCAGTCTAAATAAAATAGGTGACATAAGTTGCTTCTAGACTAGTTTGTTTTCAAGGAGCAACTGCCACCTCGCTGCTAAGAAAGTATTATTTGGATGCAGAGGTTCTCAGAAGAAAACAAACCACCAGGAATTCTTTTTGGCAGGACAGCTGCAGGGTTGTGTTGGTGCTAAACAGAACACAGGGAGAATCCTCCTTGCCCTTCCCCTGCCTCTGTAATGGCCAGAAGGGGAACAGCATTCTGGTGAGAGGAGCTTTATTTCCATCCTGCCGAAATTCCAAGGGCTTTTTTCAGCACTTTGTTTACAGAAACAAACCTGAGGTGCGTTTCCATATTTTGGAGGCTGTGGAAGTTCAGCATGGGGGTAGGTTTTTTATACATCACGTCTCCAAAGTCATTTTTTTCAGGTGTACATCTGTGACTGCTCGTTGGAAGCGTGAGCCGGACTGGTGAAACTTGGCTGCTGTGTAACCAGCTCCTTTTTTGCCCTGCCCTTTTCTGTCCCCCTTGCCTTCTGAGCACAGGCTGAGGGTTCCTAGGCTTCTTGGAAGACCATGCACTTGGTGTGCATTCTGAAGGATGTAGGAAGCCTCCCATAATCACTCACAATGTGTGTGCTCCCCTGGGAGACAGCCCGGCCCTGCTGCACTGCTCGTCGGTGCACACGCTGCACCTTCACCTCTTTAACACGGCACATCCTGAATGTCCACCGTGACCCATCCTGTGGGATGACTCACATTCCTGGAACTTTCTTGCCTGGCTCCTGAAGCTTAACAAAGGGCTAAAGCCCTTTTCAGACATCCTATCAGGCTTTATTAGGAAAAATGCTGTCTGCCCTTCCCATCTGGACTGTCCCTGGAGTTGCCTGGTGCACTTGGCTGGCTTGGGCCACTTCTGAACATTCATGGCTGGACATGGGAGGCTTCATCCAGTGCCTGCTGCTCCATGGGCACTTGGTGTTATCCTGCCAGGCTTTCAGAGCACTGAGTGTTACCTTAAACACTGAAAATTTGGCTTAGACTACTTGGCTGTCTAACAAACTCTGTACAGCTCTTGGGAGATGAGTCCTGACTAAGACACCCTTATGAAACAGTTAAATAACTCTTAGATGCCAGGGATGGGGTCAGGCAGTGAAGTAGCAACTTTCCTCCTAGGTCAACCAGTGTTGTTAAACACTTCAGTCCCAGGGAACCAAAAAAAGCTGCAAAGAACTTTCAGGATCAGATGTGGCCGGAACAACAAATGTGCTCCTTGTTTTAAGTTGCTCCATGCACTAGATGCTAAGCAGACAGATTTACCCTGGCTTTCCCCGATTTTATTGGAAACAGCACACAATCCCCACTGGATGGCAGGAAGATAATTGGCTGAAAAAGTGTCTTGACTTCCACGAGCATGTCACTGAAAAGCTGTCTGAGCCAGGAGCACTGGCAGATTTAGCCTGGATGATAGTGAGGGCTGTCTGGAGAGGAATTCAGGGGATGGAGCTTCAGGGCTAGAGTGGAGAGGCAAGGTAGTTCTGCTTCAAAGTAGGTGTGATTTAGAGAGGCAGAAGCCATTGCATAATTGCCCCAAAGCCAGCTATTAATAGATGTTCTGTGTGCCCTTCAGCTGGCAGTGCTGGGAGGCAGCTTTGTGCCTTGGGGTTCTGGAGAGTCACTGATAACACCACTCAGAGCTCTGGGTGCTGGAGGGATGCTGTGCAGGGCACCCCCCCTCTGCAGGGATTTGGGAATATGTGTATGACCCTGCTGAGTGTGAACCCTGTGTGTTGGGGGGTTCCTCTCTGTCTCCTCACTTTCAGTGTGATAAAAGGTGTCATAAATGTCTTCTCTCCCTTTCAGATACCACCTTCTGAAACTCCTTCAGAAGTTTGGCAAAGTAAAGCAGTTTGACTTCCTCTTTCACAAGTCTGGTGCTCTGGAAGGGCAGCCAAGGGGTTACTGTTTTGTGAACTTTGAAACCAAACAGGTAAGTTGCTTTTATCCAAAGTTCTGATGGTTTCTTTTCCCCCCCCTTTTTTTTTGTTTTAATATTAATTTAGAGCTACAGCAGGAAGGGAAAATTTGATACCTTGTGTGCCCAAACCCATGGACTCCGACAGCTCCACTCTGTCACAACCACTTTGTGACTGCTCCTGGAAGTAACCAATAGTGATTTCCTTTATCCTCTGCTCTCTTTCCCTGAGTCCTTAGCTCTCCATTTGGGATTTTAACTCTCGTTACAAATCAGAATTCCAAGTCATGCTCAACATCAGAGTTGTAGTTATTTTGTCGTAATTCTGCTGGAATTGTTCAAAAGTTGGGAAGAAGAGCATGTTTGGAGGTTGCTTGTGGCTGTATGACCTCAGCTGCTGACAGGGATGTCAGAAGACCCCTGACACTGGATTAGCCCTAGAAAATTATTCATAGCAAGGTTGGAGCAGCACTGCCACATAAATCTTCAGCTGCTGTGAGTCAGGTTTTATGGGAGTGTCCCAAAAATGCCGAGAACAGGATGGAGTGGATCATGTCCCCAGTGCCCACGAGCAGGATTGGGAATGAGCATGGATAGGTGTTAATGAGACACGTGTAATCACTGTAAGGAGCCACAGTAGCATAATCCCTCTGAATGCTGTATTTTTCCTGATCATTTTCCCCACTTCCTCTCCCCAAACGAGTGAAAGGATAAACCAGTAATGCTACCAAGTCTGTCTCCTCAGATGTTGGAGTCTTCCAAAGGTATCCCTGGGCTGGGCTACCAGGGGGTGGGCTCTGTTTGTCCTGGGTGAGCCGTGCTTACAGCAGGCTGGTTAACAAAGGGAAGAGGCTCTGTGCATGTGAGTGGGTTTTGACTAAAGGCTTGGTTTGTTTATGGAGCTGTCTTCCTGTGCAGGAAGCGGAGAAGGCGATCCAGTGTCTCAATGGGAAGCTGGCCCTTTCCAAGAAGCTGGTGGTGCGGTGGGCACACGCACAGGTCAAGGTGAGCTGCTGGCTGCGAACAGCAACGGCTCCTAACTGCAACACTGAAAAACTTCAGTGTTCAAGAACAGTCCTTATCAAAGGTGTATTGGATCAGCAAGGCAATTTCACCTTGTGGAGCTGGTGCTAACAATGCACAGCTCCTGTTGTGTACCCAGGCTGTGCTGGATGAGCTGTGGGTGAGGACGGGCCCTCTAACCTGGTGTTCTCTGTGAGGGGATTTCTGATCACAGCAGTGGGAACACATTGCTTCTATAAATGTCCGTGTTTCACTTTTCCCAAACTTAGTGAGTAATTGGGTGGAAGTTTGAATCCTTCCCATTGTGGTTCTGCTGCCTTTTGGGATAGCAGAGGTGTGGAAATTCCCAATTACCGGTCACTGTGTTACTTTGTTTCACTTCTGAAAGCACTTACGTGACAGGAGCTCTAATTAGTCTTGACTTTAAAGTAATGTATTTCACATTTAAGATAAATATCCTTTTATTGCTTGCTCTGTCCCATAAACAATCAAGTTTTTATTATTAACTTAGACTATACCTCCTGGAATATCCTTGTTTTAATTTTTTTTTTTTTAATTTTTGTCTTGTTTCTCCTACAGTTATTTACTATCTCATCTTTGATAAGGCAATTTATTTTTAATAAATTTCTTTGCAGATAAACAGATTTTGGGGGAGGCAGAGGGGAGCTGTTTGTTGCTGTGTTCCTCTGGGCAGTTTTCGTTTAGCCCATGTTGATTATCCTGCAAGCAGCTTTCTACTCTCTCCTATGAAATGTATTCGTGCATCTGTTTTGGATGCTAAAAAACCAAAGCAGGTATCTCCATGGGAGGAAACCATGTTGTTTTAATTATTGACTTCAAGGGCTCGCTCTTGTCAGCACATCCAGGCTGGTGAAAATCCTGTGTCCATTTTCTGTAGCTGTGTAGTCCTGGAGTGCCACGTGCTTCCAGAGGCCTGAGGAATGAATGATCAGGCCATAAAAGGAGTTTGAGGAGTGAGTGTCTGCTCAGCTGGAGCTGAGCTGGGCAGCTCTGGGCTTGGCTGGCCAGGATCTGGGGGGGAACACGCCTAAATCATCACTTTGGTGCATTTTGTAATCCCCCAGTGGAAAGATTGAACAGCACAAAACTGGGCTTATTGTAACGAGTGTTTGCTTTAGACAAGAGCAGCACAAGACAGGCAGTTCTGAGATGAGTGGCCCAGGCTCACCAGATACTCTCGGTTTGAGCAGCTCTGCTGAAAACCAAACCTGACCCTGTGCCAAGCGAAATAAGGAAGCAGAACGCTGCAAATAGTTCAAGAGGCCCGTTGCCCACAGAGATGACAGTCACAAGCTCCTTTCCACAGAAAGGAGGTGGCTCCTGACCGGTCTTTTTTATTTCTTCCCCCTTCTTGTCTCCCAGCGCCGCCTCATTCCGTGCAGTCGTGTGCTTGGGTCACCTTCTGGCTCAGCACATGAAGAGCATAGCAAGCAGTTACCTTAAGATTTACCATCTTTGCTTCCTGCCTTATGTAGAGGAGAACAAGAAGTGACAGGATAAGGTTTAAGGATCCATAGAACAAGGCACATAACTGCTATCAGAGTCAACCTTCCCTGCTGGGTACTGACCAAATATCGTGCTTGGGATTTGTTTCTGTGCTTGGCCACTCAAATCCTTGCTAGCCAAAGCTTCCCAAAACCCCAGGTGATGTTAAGCCAGCTTTGAAGTGTACCTGTGGGGAAGGGTTTCTTTGTTCCTAATTCCAGCTGGCTCAGTCCTTGGTCTCTTCCTTGCAGAGATACGATCACAACAAAAGCGAGAAGATCCTTCCAATCAGTCTGGAGCCCTCGTCCAGCACGGAGCCACCCCAGTCCAACCTAAGGTAGGAGATGAGGGGGTGAGAGGTGACCCAGCTGTGGGGCTGGCAGGGAACCAACTTCTTCCACTTCAGTAAGATTAAGGTTTAGAGTTGTTGGCATTGTTTGTGCTAAAAATCTAATGTGGCAGAAGAGCTGTCTTTGGAAGGGCAGCTGCTGTGAGGTAACTCATGTAATGTGGGACGTTTCAGACTGGAAGTTTATTTTCTAACATGCAAAGCTACTTGGGCAGTGGGAAGGAAAAGAGGTGAGGAGAGGAATTGGGAGTGTGTAGCATTCCAGCTCCTTTGGCCACGATATGATTTGGACTTCATGTCACTGAGGGGGTTTGTACTGGACTGATTTGTTTCAGCGAAATGCTTATCAGCAGAAATTTCTACTGTAGTGGCAGAAGATTAAAACAAAATCACAAGCAGTATTTAACATAAAACTAATTTATTTTATTTCTTTTTGCTGGTGTTAGGGCTGTAAGTCTTGCTTGTGGGATATGATAAATTCCAACCCCTGTATTTACCTAGAGCACATAGTGCTGCTTTGCTGATTCTCAGTATGGCTGAGAGGGTGTGTGGTTTTCCTCTGTGCTGTGTCAGTGGAACCCTGTAAGGAACCAGGACCAGATTAATGCATTAGTCTCCAGATAAAATGAGCTTGGAATTCAGGAGTAACAGGCTAGGAAGCAAGGAGCAGAGGGGTTTGAGTCATGCAGATTGCTGGCTGCATCAGTGGCACAAAGGGGTTGTTCTAGTGAGGATGGATGGTGCAAGAAGCCACAGCGGGGAAGGGAACATTCCTCGGTCCATATCCAGCGGAGGATAGTGAATAACAAAAGTCCTAGGAATTTGGGGTGTAACCTAGGATAGCTTCTCCCTTTGGGATAAACCCTGCTAATGCTGAAATAATGTTTCTTCCTGACCTAATTAGAGTCTGGGGTTTTCCCATCCCGAGCAGGCTGGAGCTGGGAGGAAGTCTGGCTTTCATTTCTGTGCTGTTCCCAGCAGCCTGCTCGGGGCTGTCTCTGCTGCACATGCTCAGACCTCCTCAAATGACATCATTTCACATGGAGTAGGGAGCCTTGTGGTGTTCTTGTTTCAGCGTCCCCGAGAAAGTGCTGAGTCGGTGCAGGGGCCGTTACTTTGCAGTGCTGTGATGTATCTTGGAGGAGCAAATCCGTGCTGAGGGAATGAAATGCAGCAGTGTGGGCTCTGAGCAGGGCATTCCTGCCTCTGTGGATGCAGCACAGGGGCTGCCCGGCCCTTCCTCGTGTGTGTCAGCAAAATCTCTAGATTGCTGTAGTCTGATTCCATGCTAAGATCAAGATGAATCTCTCTTCTGCTTTTTCTCCCTCCAGCGTCAGTGCAAAAATAAAGGCCATCGAAGCCAAGCTGAAGATGATGGCAGAAAACCCCGACGCCGAATATCCCGCAGCACCTGTTTATTCTTACTTCAAACCCCCCGATAAGAAAAGGACTACTCCTTACTCCAGAGCTGCCTGGAAATCCAGAAGATGATGCTTTAGGAGTGGATGGTGGTAGCGAGAAACGCTGCTTTGTACCCGTGGAGTTGCTCCAGTGCTTTTGTACGTTGTAGAGTGGGAAGGACGCTGCCACCCGAGCAGGGCACGGCGGGCCAGGCACGGCCTGTCCCACCCGAGGGGCCGCAGCCCCTGCCAGAGCAGCTCACAGCTGAAGGCTGTTCAGAGAAGTAGGTTCCCCTCAAAGCCTCTGATGAACACGCAGACAACCTCTCGTTAGCGTGCATTCATTAGCCAGATTAGAAACAGTAACCAGCGTACGGAGCAAAGCACATCCAAAAATACTCCATTTAACTGATTACTTTTTAAGTATTTTTGAACAAAAAGTATTCCGGTTCATGTTTTAATGGAGGGGAAGCACTTGGTTTTGATTAACATGCTGTAGTTACCATGGAAAAACTTTTTCATCTCAATAAAACTCATTTTAAATAGATTTTGCAACCCTTCTAGTAACTGTGCATGCAATATTTGATGTGCACTAAACCCAGTTGATTTTGCATTTTGATTTGCAGACTTCACAGTGTTACTTTAGAATGTGAGAACCTTAAGCTAATGACACAGCACAGGTATTTTCAGTGTCATTTAGGCTGTAGGTGTGTGCCTCTGTGTAGGTGTGTTTACACACCCCTGATGTGCTGTGCCCTGAGCTTCAGAGTTTGTGTTCAGTGATCCCCATCAGTGGTAGCTCCTCATGAGCCAGATGTGACAACATGAGTATAACTGCAGCCTCTGAGACACCTGGTGAGCCTGTGACCTCAGTGTTTGCCACCCATCCAGCCCAGCTTTGGTTTCCACCGGCTGGTAAAGGTGGACAGCTGCCTCTCGGTGTGTTTGTGGTGAATTGGTCTGCTGTGAGCTGGGATTGCCTGATGGATGGCTCGGGATCTGATCTGCAGCCCCATTTTCTCCCTAAATACCTGCAAAATAGAAATCTGAGGGGAAAAAAAATTGTTTTCCTTTGTGCACGCAGTGCTGTGAGTGCATTGCCAGGGGGATGTCAGAGGACACGTGCTCGGGTCCAGGTGACACCAATCTCACTTTCCAGTGTGTGCTGTCCCTACTCCCATCAGACATTCATCAGTCACTCTGGAGTTGCTTCCCTGGCCCTCAAACAAGAGGAGGACGACAGTTGTGAAGGAGCCCCGGGTTGTGCAGGCAGGAGTTGCTCAGTGGCACAGCCCAGGGAGGTTTGTGTTCCCCCAGCAGCACCTCCCTCCAGGCACAGCTTCCTGCTTCCGAACCCAGCACCTGGAACGGAGCCGTGCGCGTCTGCTGGAGTGACTGTTGAGAGATGAATTGTTCACAAGTAGGTCTCATGCTGGTAATGTTTGCTTCCTAGTTTTTGGGTACCTGACTAAAGGAAAAAGTCATATCCTTGGGAGTTTGTACCCCTCGGAGTGTCAGTAACAGCAGTTTACATTCCTCTGTGAACAGGCTGTGTTTGTTCCTGCCTGCTCCAACAGTTGTAGCTTTCTGGGTATGTATCTGCATTGTTTAGAACAGCTCTCAATTCTGTTCCTGTTAGGAATTTAGAAGATACCTGGACTCAAAGCGGAGGTGTGGTTGCTCCCATCAGAAACATACTTTGATATTTATTTGTATTTAAATACAATTTGTTGAAATCCTCATGGCTCTAAATAAACATTTAAAATGCATGTTTTCCTCCAGGAAAGCGAGGGTGGCACAAGCAGGAAGTGAGTGAGGGTGGTAAATGCTTGGCATCAGCCGAAGTCCACGGATGGAACCCGGGTACAATGGCATCAGTCTTTTTTTTTTTTTTTTTTTAATTATTTTTTTGCACTGCCACTGTCACTAACAGAAGTGCCTTGTCTGCAGCTCAGCCAGACACAGACCTGGGGGAGCCTTGATGCAGGTCAGTGTTTGTGTTGGTCGTCGCTGGTGCTGCCGGCGCTTCCCGGGAATGCTGCACTTCCCACGGCCCTGCAGCAAACCCAGAGAGTTCCTAACCCTGGAGCTGGGAGGAGGTAGATGCTCAGAAACGTGTTTTCGTGGGCATCAGCCTTGGGACTTGGCATAAAAGCATCATAAGCCAGGTTTGAAGGGCAATGGGGAGCACGGCACTGCTGCAGCCAGGTCTGGAGCTGTAAGGAGGGAGGTTGGCAGCTGGTGGTGGGAAGGAGAGTGGGGCTTGGTGCCCGGCTTCCCTGAAGAGGAATCCGGCTGTTTCTCACCTGCAGCATATGGTCCCGTCTTTGGAGGGGATCCTTGCTTTCCCTGTATTTCCAGCAGATCCTGGGAGCAGGTGAGGTTCCAAGGGCAATATTCACTGTGTCCATGGTGTGGGCTTTTCCTCGGTGTTTCTACTATTCTTCTGCCTGTGGTGACGGTCCCTCGCTCGGGATGAGTACGGAATCATGCCTTCACTGTGGGAACGCAGGGCATTCCTAACCCCAAATTTCAGGATTCCGGATGAGCTACTCTTTGACACCCTGCCTTGTAGGAGCTCCAGCACTGGTGGAGGGAGCACATGGGGGTAAGAGTGGGGATGGAGTCGGTGCTGATACTCAGTATCCACTGCTTTGCATTCCCGGGCACTGCCCAGGCCCTGCTCCTGGTGCGATGGGCACGTGTGAGATCTGCGCGCTCTCAACAGCGAGGGCAGGAGATCTTCTGCCTCCAGGGACCAGGACGTGACCTCAAGGCTGGAGAGTGGCAGAGGCTGGGCTGGAGTCACCCTGTTCCTGAGCCCCCTCTGAATTTAGGGGGCCCAGAGAGCCTGGTCTTTACTGAGCAGCACAGGGTGAGTGTAGCTGGGTGGTGCTGGGCCGTGGTGCTGAGCCACGGTCATCGCAGCCCGACCTCTCTGTGTGATGCAAACAATCCTTGCGTGGCCCTTCCTCGGCCGGCGCTGCGTAGGGGGACAGACAGCTTTCGTGGCTGTGTCCATGAAAACTCCTACGTGTTTCTTCTGGAGCAGCCAGAGCTAATTGATTCCCTGCCAGCGAGAACGAGGGGTTTAAATTGTTCTTTCTCAGCATCCCGCCTCTGCACTTGTCCATGTCCCCCCATGCTCGGCCTCTGCGGCGCTTGGGACAGATGGGAGGACGAGCTGGCAGGCCCCGGGCACTCTTTCCTGGGGGTTTCTCGGGCTTTTCTGCAACCTCGATGTTTAAACCTAATGCCTTGTATTTATTCTAAAATGGCTTTCATCTGATTTCCCTCTCGGTTAACAATTTAGCTGTCACAATCAATAAGGGCGAGGATCCATCCCCGGCCGCCATCAGCTCACGTTACCGTCCTGCAATTACCCGGCGGTGGCACCGCTGCCGGGGCTTTGCTGGGGAATTATCAGGTTACTAATGAAGCCCGGGCAGCGGCGGGCGGCCAGACGCCGCAGCGGTGGGCGCGATCCCCGCCGCCGCGACCCGCAAGGGGGCTGCGGGGCCGTCCCGGGCCGTGCGCCCCGTCGGGACGGGCAGCGGCGGGGCAGCACCGGGGAGAGCCGGAGCGGGGGTCCCCCCCTCCCCCCCGCCCTGCCCTCCCCGCCGCGCCCCCGGGCGGTGCCGCCGCCGCAGGTAGCGGGGCCCGGCGGGGCGGGCGGCCCCCGGGGCGCTGCGGGGGGGCGCCGCTTCCTGCCCGGCCCGCGGCCGCCCCCGGCGGGGGAGCGGGGCCGGCGCGGTTCCCCGCCCGGCTCCCCGCCCTTCCTGCCGCGGCCGCGGGACGCGCCGCCCGCGGGCACGGAGCGCGGCGGCGGCGGGCGGAGCGGGGCGCGCCCGCCCCATGCACCGGAGCCATGGGGGCGGGCAGCCCCGGGGCCCGGGCCGCCGCGCCCCGGCCGGCGCCCAGGCGGGCAAGGTGAGCGCTGCCGCCGCTGCTGCCGTCGGGGCCGGGAGCGGGGCCGGGGCCGGGAGCGGGGCCGGGGCCGGGCCGGGGCTTGGGGCCGCTCGCTGCCTCCCGCGCCGGAGGGGTGGATTTTTCCATCCCGGCGTTTTCTGGGGCGTTTTGTGCTCGGCAGAGGGAGAGGGGGAAGAATTTCGATTTTTAATTACTACCATTAAAAAAATCAAATTTGCAATTCTTTGGGTGGCCTGATGGATTCCCTGATTGACAGCCGGAATTGACACTCTGGTACCTCTTATCTCGGGCATTTACGGCAATTTCTAATTGCAGGTAGTTTGGGGGGTTTTTCAGCGCCTTGGCTCGCATGGGAACCGAGCGATTACTTCAAGAGGCCCGGGTTAAGTGCAGGCAGGGGGAGAATTCAATCCACATTCAAATTGCTTCATTAAAGAGACGCAGCTTTTGTTGCAAAGGATTTAAATGGCCACTAGAAAGTTCTTATTTATTGTTTTGAGGCGGTTTATATAGGGTGCCCCGCGCTCGCCCGGCGCATGGAGCCGCAGCCTCCTTCTCCCGCTCTCTCCATCAAGGTGATGCCGCCGGAGCCGCTGCCCAAGGGGAGTGCCCGCTGTCTCGATCCGCATTCCCGCGCCATGGTAAGCGGGGCTGGGGGCTGCGGGGACCCGCCGGGACCCGCCGGGCCGGGGATGCCGGGAGCTCTGGGGACCCGCCGGGCCGTGGGATGTGGGGTCGCACCGGGCCGGGGATGCCGGGGTTCCCGCCGGGACCCTCCAGGCCAGTGTTGTCAGGGGCTTGTGGGTGCCCACCGGGCCAGGGATGCCGAGAGCTTCGGGGAACCGCCGGAAAGCTCCGGTTCGGGGTTGCGGGGAACGGCGGGGCCCCGGCTGACAGCCCCGGGGCGGCTCTGCCCGCAGTCGCAGCCCGACGGGGAGCCGCTGCCCGGCGCCCTGGAGAAGGAGGACGCCCGCTCAGCGCCCAGCACCCCGTCCACGCCGTCCGTCTGCTCCCCGCCATCCTCCTCTTCCTCCACGCCGTCGGCCGGCAAAAACGTCTGCTCCAGCTGCGGACTGGAGATCCTCGACCGGTACCTGCTGAAGGTGAGCTGGGCGGGGGGCGGCGGGGGCGGCGGGGGGCGGCGGGTGGCCCCGGGTCTCAGCCCCTTCTCTGCCGCAGGTGAACAACCTCATCTGGCACGTCCGGTGCCTGGAGTGCTCCGTGTGCCGCACCTCGCTGCGCCAGCAGCACAGCTGCTACATCAAGAACAAGGAGATCTTCTGCAAGATGGACTACTTCAGGTAGGGACCGGGCCGGGGCCGTCCGAGGGGCTCAGCCGGCTGCCGCGGGGCCGGGGCTGCTCCGGTGCTGCCGAGGGGAGGGTTTGGAAAAGCCGCCGGGCTCCCCGGAGCAGCCGAACGGGAGACGACCCTTGGGGAACGGGAAAAGATGCAGAAAGGGAGGTTGGGGTGCAGTTGCCCATCCTTCGGAGGGGTTCCTGCCCCCCGGCCGTGTCTGTGCGGGCCGCCCCGAGCTCCCCGTCTCAGCGGCGGGAGTGCCCGGCTCCGTGGGTGCGGCGTGGCGGGGATGGTCCCCGCGGCGGGGAAACGGGCATGGAATGGTCTCGTCCCGGCTGTTGCCGGAGGGTAAATTGGTGCTGCCGGCCTGCGGTGCCCAGCGCCTTTGGAATCGAAACGAACGACGGGCGGCGGCTGCGGTCCCGCAGGGGCTCGGGCCGGACCCGCACCCTCGGAGCAGCCTGTCCCGCAGGGAGGGTGTTCTGTCTGCTTCAATCGTTCTGTTCTAAACCTTAAGCCATGAATTTCCCCCTAATCTGAGTGGAACGAGGGAATTGAGTATCTTGAGCTCCTCGCCAGGGTTTAACTAACCATCTGAACCCCCTCTCTGACTTTCTCCATCCTACCAGGATGAGGGAATGCTGTTTGACCCGAGAGGAAGGGGAATGGCGGGCAGGAAATGGGAATGACCCCGGCGGGGCGCAGGGGGCTCGGAGCATCCTCCGGCCGCGGCGGGAGCTCGGGGCTGCCCCGGCGGCAGCGGGCAGGGGAGCTCGGGGGGCACCTCGGAGATTCCTCTGGGGCTTTTTATTAAAGGGTCTGCAAATACCCGACTTCCCGCAGCTGAGCCCCTGCTCCCGCTGGCCTAGGTGCGGTGCCGCCGGGGGTACGGGGCTCTCGGAGGCCGGTGCGGGGCTCTGAGAGCCGGGTCGGTCCCGCGCTCTGCTCAGTGGTGGTGGTTGTTGTCATTATTATTAATAGTTGTTGTTATAATTTTTAAATTGCAATTTTCGGTGATTTCACCGAAATCTCCTCCACTCCACATAGAAAGGCTCTGGCGGTCCCGTGGCCACGGTGATGTTTTGGGGCAATTTAAGCGCTTTCATTCATTTATCACCGTTCTAGTGCCGTTGATGTGTGGTTTAATTTTGGTTTATTTTTAAGAGCGAATCTTTCCGAAGGCAGTTTTAA